GATTTTTTTTCAACCCCAAAAGTTGCTTGGCACAATAGAGTACCATCCAAACATTCATATTATTGAGTAACTGAGCCACTCATGAGGTACCCCCTTGAAAAATGTTTGGATGCTGTTTTTTAATAAGGGTTTAATAAGGCATCTAATTATTTGGAAAACCTTGCATTTTAAAGATTTTACACAAATATGGCTTTCTAAAGTAAATGGAACAGGTTTACTCAAAGAAAGGTGGAGAAGGTTTTTGATTTTTTTTCAACCCCAAAAGTTGCTTGGCACAATAGAGTACCATCCAAACATTCATATTATTGAGTAACTGAGCCACTCATGAGGCACCCCCTTGAAAAATTGTCTGGATGCTGTTTTTTAATAAGGGTTTAATAAGGCATCTAATTATTTGGAAAACCTTGCATTTTAAAGATTTTACACAAATATGGCTTTCTAAAGTAAATGGACCAGCTTTACCCAAAGAAAGGTGGAGAAGGTTTTTGATTTTTTTTCCAGCCCCAAAAGTTGCTTGGCACAATAGAGTACCATCCAAACATTCATATTATTGAGTAACTGAGCCACTCATGGGGTACCACCTTGAAAAATTGTTTGGATGCTGTTTTTTAATAAGGGTTTAATAAGGCATCTAATTATTTGGAAAACCTTGCATTTTAAAGATTTTACACAAATATGGCTTTCTAAAGTAAATGGACCAGCTTTACTCAAAGAAAGGTGGAGAAGGTTTTTGATTTTTTTCAATCCCAAAAGTTGCTTGGCACAATAGAGTACCATCCAAACATTCATATTATTGAGTAACTGAGCCACTCATAAGGTACCCCCTTGAAAAATTGTCTGGATGCTGTTTTTTAATAAGGGTTTAATAAGGCATCTAATTATCTGGAAAACCTTGCATTTTAAAGCTTTAACACAAATATGGCTTTGTAAAGTAAATGGACCAGCTTTACTCAAAGAAAGGTGGAGAAAGTTTTTGTTTTTTTTCAACCCCAAAAGTTGCTTGGCACAATAGAGTACCATCCAAACATTTATATTATTGAGTAACTGAGCCACTCATGAGGTACCCCTTGAAAAATTGTCTGGATGCTGTTTTTTAATAAGGGTTTAATAAGGCATCTAATTATTTGGAAAACCTTGCATTTTAAAGATTTTACACAAATATGGCTTTGTAAAGTAAATGGACCAGCTTTACTCAAAGAAAGGTGGAGAAGGTTTTTGATTTTTTTTCAATCCCAAAAGTTGCTTGGCACAATAGAGTACCATCCAAACATTCATATTATTGAGTAACTGAGCCACTCATGAGGTACCCCCTTGAAAAATTGTCTGGATGCTGTTTTTTAATAAGGGTTTAATAAGGCATCTAATTATTTGGAAAACCTTGCATTTTAAAGATTTAACACAAATATGGCTTTCTAAAGTAAATGGACCAGCTTTACTCAAAGAAAGGTGGAGAAGGTTTTTGATTTTTTTTTCAACCCCAAAAGTTGCTTGGCACAATAGAGTACCATCCAAACATTCATATTATTGAGTAACTGAGCCACTCATGAGGTACCCCCTTGAAAAATTGTTTGGATGCTGTTTTTTAATAAGGGTTTAATAAGGCATCTAATTATTTGGAAAACCTTGCATTTTAAAGATTTTAACACAAATATGGCTTTCTAAAGTAAATGGACCAGCTTTACTCAAAGAAAGGTGGGGAAGGTTTTTGATTTTTTTCAACCCCAAAAGTTGCTTGGCACAATAGAGTACCATCCAAACATTCATATTATTGAGTAACTGAGCCACTCATGAGGTACCCCCTTGAAAAATTGTCTGGATGCTGTTTTTTAATAAGGGTTTAATAAGGCATCTAATTATTTGGAAAACCTTGCATTTTAAAGATTTAACACAAATATGGCTTTCTAAAGTAAATGGACCAGCTTTACTCAAAGAAAGGTGGAGAAGGTTTTTGATTTTTTTTCAATCCCAAAAGTTGCTTGGCACAATAGAGTACCATCCAAACATTCATATTATTGAGTAACTGAGCCACTCATGAGGTACCACCTTGAAAAATTGTTTGGATGCTGTTTTTTAATAAGGGTTTAATAAGGCATCTAATTATTTGGAAAACCTTGCATTTTAAAGATTTAACACAATATGGCTTTCTAAAGTAAATGGACCAGCTTTACTCAAGAAAGGTGGAGAAGGTTTTTGTTTTTTTTCAACCCCAAAAGTTGCTTGGCACAATAGAGTACCATCCAAACATTCATATTATTGAGTAACTGAGCCACTCATGAGGTACCCCCTTGAAAAATTGTCTGGATGCTGTTTTTTAATAAGGGTTTAATAAGGCATCTAATTATTTGGAAAACCTTGCATTTTAAAGATTTAACACAAATATGGCTTTCTAAAGTAAATGGACCAGCTTTACTCAAAGAAAGGTGGGAAGGTTTTTGATTTTTTTTTCAACCCCAAAAGTTGCTTGGCACAATAGAGTACCATCCAAACATTCATATTATTGAGTAACTGAGCCACTCATGAGGTACCCCCTTGAAAAATTGTCTGGATGCTGTTTTTTAATAAGGGTTTAATAAGGCATCTAATTATTTGGAAAACCTTGCATTTTAAAGATTTAACACAAATATGGCTTTCTAAAGTAAATGGACCAGCTTTACTCAAAGAAAGGTGGAGAAGGTTTTTGTGTTTTTTTCAATCCCAAAAGTTGCTTGGCACAATAGAGTACCATCCAAACATTCATATTATTGAGTAACTGAGCCACTCATGAGGTACCCCCTTGAAAAATTGTCTGGATGCTGTTTTTAATAAGGGTTTAATAAGGCATCTAATTATTTGGAAAACCTTGCATTTGAAAGCTTTAATCTAAAAAATGAAAAACAGAAAAACATTTTTAAGTAACCAATTTAAAAATAAAATTCAAAAAATAATTAATTAATTAGGAACAATTAAAAAAAAAATCTGGAAAACATTTGCCACAATAGAGGCCCCCCCCACCAAACAGCAGGTTACTGAATAAGGAGGAAAAAGTTTGCCACAATAGAGTACCATGCTACTAATCAGGTGCCAACATTAATTAAGCTGTTTCCACCTGTATTTGTTTTACTTTGCATTCCTTTCTTTGCTCCTTCCTGACAACTCCTGATGGCAAACACCTGTGTCATACGCAACTTCATCAGACACGATTCCTGTAAGGGTCATGCGTGAGAGCGGCTGTGGGTGGTTTGTAGTGATTTCGGGTGAGCTGCTGTGCTCTTTCGAGGTACCCCAGATTGTGGTAATTTCCTACATGTCAGTTGCCGGTTTGTCCCATCAGCTGGTAATAGTGGTGCCCCAGAGTGCTGGCAAAGTTGGTTTATAATATGTAATAATTAGGTCAACTATGTTTTATTGTATTTTTTTGCGTTTTATGTATATGTATATATGTAATATGTATCTATTTATATCAATATATTTATATATTATATACCGATATATGTACAAGAAATAAACACACACACACATACATGTATATATATACACACATAAACTGGTTTTTATAAACCATCAAAGATAACACAACCTTGCAACAACCACTTGCCCCCTAAATGTCTCCTGGTGAGGCCTGCTCCCCACGTCCTTCTCGGCGATCGCCGAGCTGACCACCTCGTTCTTCCGCTGAGATGGGGTTTCAACCAACCATTTTATGGGGATTTAATGTGATTTATGGGGATTTATGCGGATTTAATGTGATTTATGGGGATTTAATCTGATTTATGGGGATTTATGCGGATTTAATGTGATTTATGGGGATTTAATGTGATTTATGCGGATTTAATGTGATTTATGGGGATTTAATGTGATTTATGGGGACTTAATGTGATTTATGGGGACTTAACGTGATTTATGGGGACTTAATGTGATTTATGGGGATTTAATGTGATTTATGGGGATTTATAGGGATTTATGCGGATTTAATGTGATTTATGGGGATTTAATAGGGATTTAATGTGATTCATTTGATTTAATAGCATTTCATGGGATTCTCATGGGATTTTGATTGGATTTTGACATTTTAACCACCAATTTTATCAGGATTCCATGGGAATTTCATGGGATTCATGGGATTTCAATCATCCCGTGGTTCGGAGGGAAGGATCTATAGGATTTTACAGCTCTGTGAACATTCTTTACTAAGAGGGGAGCCAAGGGGCCAGAGTTTCCCAACTGATAGATCCACAGGATGAGACAGGCAGAGAGGCAGATCTCATATGTCGCGGACGTGTAATTCTTGTTCAGAAGTGACGTTTTCACATATGCTATATATTGAACCATAGAACATGTGATATGCAATGATGATCTCTGGGACGAGCATATGTTTCAGGGGTGTTGAGACCATCCAGTTTTTCTTTGCAATATTTATGTGGGGTTGCTTCGAAGAATATATTCTCTAGGTGTTTGATTTTTGTTGGACAAGTCGTGTTTAAGATTGGGCGTCAAAACATGACCTGAAATGGTGGTTAGATGATGGTGAGCCCCGAAGAAAGTGATAGTCATAGAGGAAAGGCAAAGAAGTGCGTTCTGAAGTGTCATGTTTAGACGAATTGTTCTTTAAAGAAACCGTTCAGTCTTTAGGCACGAGGTGTGTAATTAATTAAGATATTTGGAAGTATTTGGAAGAGCAGTCAGATACGCTCTTGATGTGTGATTAAACCGTTCAATGCATTGATATACATTTAAACAAATCTGACATTACGGCCACTGGACTTTGGGTCAGCAGCTATTGATTGAATTCCGGAAATGGTGAACTGAACACCATGGTAGCTTCGGAAAATACAGACGTGACGTGTTTTGTTCTGTACACATGCTGCGCGGAAAACACAACTTCAGACTGTATCAGAATTCTATAACCTGATCACATGTTGCATCATGTTCTAATGGACTCTGGTTTGATTATGTTTGTTTAGGTTGAACAGGATGTTTTAGGCCGCTATCGCACCCGAACAGCGAGGTGCTCGAGACTGCAGATGTTCCTCCAGCAGCAAGATCAGCTCATTGACGCTGGGAATGTCATGAAGAAAATTGGGAAACCCTTTTGGAAACCCTTTTGGAAACCCTTTGGGAAACCCTCGGAAAATGATATGCAAATGGTGGCTTGCACGTACAATGTGGCCTACCCCCTTTGTTGATGTTTGTTGATTTAGATTGATGAAATCACCATCTAGCTGAATCTAGCTATGCATATATTCGTACGCACCATTAAACACCTCAAACCTAGCCTGGTGTTCAACCCACTTACCCATCCAGGGGGCCCCACTGGGTCCCACAGTGTGTTCATGTAGTGACAAACATGCCATGAACCGTGGCAGATTCTGCTTGCACATGAACAAAAAAATGTGCAAGTCGAGAACATGGAACACTTGTTGGGAAAAATCATTAAAATACATCAACAAAAACCATTGAGAAGCATGGTGATCTTGAAACATCAAACATCAAAATACATGAAAATGATACCCAGGAAGCCCAGCCGGAGCCGACTGTGGGGGCTGGCGAGGTCATCTTGAAGGAGGCGTGGGGGAAGCACGGTGATAGAATGGCCATGGTGAAGTTAAACGTGAGATTTGGTGGGATAGTTCTGGGGATTTCTTGGGACATACATTATATATATAATATATTTATATGCTTTATATGCAATATAATATATATATATATATACACACCTTCAAATTGGATGATAGCCAAGAATCTTGGGGATGGTCATACCACAAATGCCACCATATAATTACCTCCATATACCACCATTAATAGTGAAGTAGAATGGCTGGGAACTTGAGAGATGATCCCCATTATATCATGTTGGATAACCATGACATATCATGTTTTGACCACGGCACATATGATTTGATCCAACTTTTGACCATGGCACAGAATATGGGCAAGTTCACCGCTGTAGAAGTTTTTTTTTTTAGCCGCCATGATGATCAACATTCGGGTTGTTTTTTGCCGATTAGCCGTATTGAGAGATGGTCATCAATCCATTTCATGGGAATTTACCCTCTGATAAGTAAACATAGACCCTGAAAATCACCAATTTTTAATGGCAACTAATCTTCCAACCCCTATCTGCCAGGGTCTATGTTAATTTACTGGAGGGTAGTAACCAATGATAAAGATTCCCAAGAATGAGATGGATGGCTATAACCCATGTAGCATTGGTTGACCTAATTGGCACATCTGAAACCATTGCGGAGAAAACAACGACATCACTAACATAATAATAAGAATAACAACGCTGCAAACGCAAGATGACTTTGGGCCAAATTGGGACCTGTGATGAGTTTTTCTGAATTACATGATGATACCCTCTGGTAAATTAACATAGCTATTGAACATGGCCCAGTCGAAATAGTGAGTTGTCTCATTTTTTTAATGATTTTAATGGTGGATCTTTCCAGTCGCTACGTTAGTCATTACCAGAGGGTACATCCCATTGTCATCCTCAATGGATTGGTTTAGGGGAAATTTTACAGGAAAACCCCATATTTAATGGTAAAAACCATGGTTTCCTGTAAATTTTCCCTTAAACCAATCCATTGATATCCATAGTCACCAAAGATCTGGTGGTCAATGGGTCGCCCTGGGCCTCAGGCCATCTTCGAACGAAGCTCCGTTAGGGCCGTTACCCAGGCGAATCGGTGGTGATGTCGAAGTACCACGACTGGAAATTGGATGTTTCATGACATTCATATGGGATCTTGTTTTATTGGATCTTCATGAAATATGAATGGATATTCATGGGCTAGTTTTCTGGGATTTAATAGTGATTGAATGGGATTTAATGGGATATGAATGCTCAAACATAGTGATGCTCATGGGATTTAATGAATATGTTATCCAACTTCTATATTGGGTAGGTTACTATCAATGTTTTACGGACGATGAATGGATGTTTCAAATTGATGGAGTGATATAACAGATGTATATGGGGAATAAAAATATAAACCATCAAGACCACCAAATAGTCTGGATATCATGGAGATACCATGAACATGATGATCGAATTACCCTCCTTTGTGTCCGCGCTAAACATGGCTTGGCTGGTTCTTGAAATGGGATTTTATCTATACATGATTGCATGATTATAACTTGATGATTGTCCGTTGCCATGTTATTGTATTACCAAAGGATCAACTGGTAAACTATCGTAACTATGGAAAATCACCATTTTTAATGGGTAAACTCACTATAAATGGCATTTTTTAATAGCTATGTTAGTTTACCAGAGGGTATGCACTATGCCATTTTTTGCGGGATGATGATCCCCGATGACCTTCTTTTTTTCCAAGCAAGGGTTGAAGTTTCAACAACCAGATGACCTTACTTGTTGGAAAAAAATATCCAATTCAAGGGTTTTCTTCACAAGTAATATTGGAAACAATCAATCTTCATAACCTTGTTGGAAATCAATTTTCACTACAAGGGTTTCATAAACATTTCCATGTCAGAGTACTTGTAGTGAAGATTACACGGAGAAATCTATGAATTGAATGTCAGGAATTTCCAATCTTTATGCTTCCCGCTTCTGCAGTTTTGTATGGACGTTGAGCGTATCAATCGTTGTGTACACCTGCTAATCCACACAGGGCCAAGATTTTGATGTTGTTGAGCAATGACAATCGTTAAGCATGTAACACCCAAGCCTGGATAGATTTATATCCCAATGCCAATATCCTTTCGCAATTTTGAGATTCCAGAATGTTCCAAAGGTTTTCACCATTTAGTTTTCCCTTTGATCGCAAAAAAGAAGATCCATGTTGTGCATGCTTGAACCTCAAAATAGATGTTCCATTGGGGTCATTTCGCTTCGCTTCGTCGTTTGCACACGATTCCAAATACCAGCGGTGCCCCATAGCTAGCTACTTGGTCTACAACTAAACTATTGTGGGCATTAGAACGTATTAGAACCATATTTAGATGAGTAATTAACAAAATCATTAACAAAACAACCAACATAACATTTGGAGGACACCACCTTGTAGCAATGTTGACCTAAAACACCTGGAAAAAAACATGGAAACGCCGATGCGAGGCGCGTGGCTCCTTTAGCCTGGGCCCAGTGAACCTCACTCTGAACGCGGGAGATTTGTGCATCGTCTGTGGTCACGTGGCGGCAAGGGCAGCATTTTCGATGGCAACAAAAGCAAAGTCTTGATCCAGTCTTAATCCATCAAAATCCAATCTTAACCCATCAAAATCCAGTCTTAGATCCAATTCTAACCCATCAAAATCTATCCAAAATCCCCAATTTTTATGTCCTGCCTCCAGGTCCGGTGGGCTCTGGCAAATCCACCCTGGTCCTCGGCCTCCTGGGCGAGCTGACCGCGTTGAGCGGCCACGTCAGCTGTGGCGGTCGGAAGGCGCTGAGCGGCCAAGAGACGCCCGGCGGTGCTATGGGTCCTGGGTGGTTTCAGATGAGCCATTAAAAATACCCTGGTTAATTGATTGCTATAGGGGCTTATACTACCTGGTTTACTGGGGATTATGATAACCCATAGAATTGGGAAACCTATCAACCAACTAGTATAATGAGATGGGATAGGGGTATTTTTAATGGCTCAGATGATTTCAGTGGGACTTTGAAGGCCAAACTCTGGATTGGGAAACAATCTCCTTCCATACACTGTGGTTAAGGCCAAACGTTGGGTGAAAAAAAAAAATCCTTCCATGGAATATACAGTGTGGTTTGGTAGAACTGAGATGGTTTGAGTTTATGCTCTTACGTAGGGCCTCCAGGAAAACCACAAGCATGCAAAAGACTGTGGAGAAGTTGCTAGATTTGGGCTTGAGCAGATTGCACATCCGAATTTTGTATTATGCTTTATTTATCTACACACATATATATATATGTATGTATGTATGTAATGTATGTATGTATGTATGTATGTATGTAATGTAATGTAATGTAATGTAATGTAATGTAATGTAATGTAATGTAATGTAATGTAATGTAATGTAATGTAATGTATGTATGTATGTATGAAACTATCAGCTCAATTTTATTACGTTGCAAGCTGAAAACACCCAAGGCCCTGGATCTTGTCCTCCTCAGTGAGGGACAACATTTGCTGCTTTCGTCAGGCTGGGCGTTTCTTCGCTTGTCTCAGTTGTCTCCGGAAAGACTTGAACCGAACGGTTGATGCTGGGGCTGAAGCCGTCCACTTTAAACTGGGAATCTAGGGGTTCTCCCAACTTGCCCAGTACCATCATGATTATAATATATATATATATACTGTATATATATTATAACATGGAACATAAATTACATAACCCAAAAAAGAGAAGGCAATCAGTACGCCCCAGAAAGGTTTTTTGTTCCTCTGCCGGGAGGACGAGCACTATTCTGCAGCCCTGGAAGCAGCACAACTCCCAGTGGACTTGACGTCCCTCCCTGCTGGAGACGAGACAGAGATTGGTGCGATGCTTGGGCAGAAAATTCAGGAAGTGCATGGAAGTGCGAGGGTGAGGCAAGCAGCATATGGGGGTTACCATAAATGGGGATAGCCAAAAAATATGTTACAATGGAAATCATATCAAAATGGATGATTTGGGGTTACCCCCCAGGAAACCCCCGCATGCAAAAACCGACGTAAAAACGAGTTTCAATGCATCATGATTGGCTTATCCTGCTTGGAATCAGACAGCAAAGCTTCTCAATTCTCAAAGCTTGCATGCCACGGAGACTTTGTTCTACATCTCCTGAATATTCTTGAGAGCAAAGGCAGTGGCTGGCTAGGGTAGATTTCATCACACATTTTCCGCACATCACATATACCGCCTATACTAGTGAAGTTGTTTATGGTTGTTTTGCATATCAAAAATGAGTTCCTGGTCATGTTGCTTAACGTTCGGGCTCATCCATGTTCTGAAAACCGCAGGAAGGGCATCAACATCTCCGGTGGACAGAAGGCAAGTCCTAGCATCTCCCAGCCGCAGACCTCATCGCCAGATGGGAAGGATCTATTGGAATGTGTAGGATCATTAGGATCTATCCGTTTTGGGGTTTGGTATTGAGGCCATTTAATATTGTACAAAACAAAATGGGCTATGGAAATTCTCACTTCAGAATTGGTTTATCGATTAATCATGAATTGAAATCACCATATATGATTGATGGCTAAGCGGCCGTGTTCACCACAAAATTCCGGATGACACCCCCACCTTTGATACACCGCCATTGGAGGCTCGCGTGGCGCTGGCGCGGAGTTTGATGACGCCAAGCGACGTGGTGCTGTTGGACGATGTGCTGAGTGCGGTGGATGTGCACGTGGCCACTGCGCTGGTGCAGGATGCACTGCTGGGCGCGTTGAAGGAGAGCACCCGAGTGACTTGGTGCAGATTTGAGTCCAGTTACCTGTAACATCCATAGGGAGGTGATTTCACCAAGAAAAATGGGATTTGGATCTCTTCATTTCGGGCTCTCATATGGGTGGTATTTCACATCATACTTGTCTAGATATATCCATGTGAGGATTGTTTAACTAGGCAGAAAACTGCTTAATAGATCTTAAAATATCTTAAATCTTCATAGTATAATATTGGGGTGGCTGGGTTGCCAGCCACTGCTTCATCTTAAACATGCTCCGACTCAGGTAGTGGTGGCCAACACCTTCCTACCCTTGCTGCTGCCCCATGCCCAGCAGGTGCCAGAAGTGGCATGAAGTGGCCGGGTCACCTTGAGATAGGAAAGGGAAAGGTGGATTTCAAGGGAAGATCATGGAAGATCAGATCCATGTGCTGAGATAGAATAGGCATGACTAGCAGGCGGATATTTGAGATGGTCTCAACGCAAAATGTGCCGAACATGCCGTAGATATCCGTAAATGCATGTAAATACCAACGTTTCGTCAGGTCCGCTTTCCCGGGGGATCCTAGTCACTTAGTCAGCGCGATGAGGTGCTGGTGCTTGATGGCAATGGTGGGGTCCAGGCTTGTGGACCTCCCAGCCAAGTTCAAGCAGAATCTCCTTGGCTACAGGAGGCATCAGGGGGCACCTTGTGTCACTGAGATCAGGCGACAGCACGTTTTTGCTGCGATGGTTGTGGTAGTCTTGGATAATTCTTATACGAGGCGGTGCCTCAGTTTTAGTCCTTAATATACTGTATAACTGTATAACTGTATAACTATAATTTGTATAACTAGTTTTAGTTCTTAGATGGCTAATACACCAACAAACATAACTTGGGAGTTGATGATGTGTCTCAGCATCCCACCTAGGGCCTAGGTGGGGAATCAACTGCGCTGCACTTCGCATCTCTTTGCGAGGCTCTAAAGACCATGGGTTCCGTACCAGCCCCTTGGAGCCATGGTTTTCCAGCCGTCGCTGTTTGGTGGTTTCATGTTTTTTGATAGTTCCAACCTTGTGTGGGAGGAGGATGCGAAATGGCCAATGTTTTTGAACCAGAGTCTTGTTTTCCTTGCTAACCTTGTTCAAGCATGAGCTGATGGAAACTTCGCCGTTGAATCCACTGCCCCAAAAAAGTCCCCAGGGGAAGGCTCCCATGAGCCTGAGCCAGTGCAAGATGGTGCACCATTGCCATCGCTATACGTATATACTGTATATATATATATGTATATGCATATATATATATGTATGTATGTATGTATGATTGTATGTATGTATTAATTTATGCATATATTATATATATATATGTATTTACTGTATTTACATGTAATTTATATATATATATTTAATCATGGTGAATTATACTGGGTGAAAACACCATAATAAACCAAGAAATGTTTCACGTGCACGGGGTGCAACGCCTTGGTCTGAAATCTATGTTGAAGACACCATACTGCTTAGACCCATATATTTTTCCTTGTTGAATCTTTATGTTTGATGTTTGAATTTCACGGGATTTCCATAGGTTTATATACTGCTAACACGGTACATCCCCACTCTAACGCGGACAAAACACAAAGTCCAGCTGATTCACTGCGGCTGCGTCAGCATTTAGGTGAAAAGTCGGGAAGACATCACGGCTGCTCTCTCTGCCTTGGCGACTTCTGAAGGGCCAGAGATGCGACTGGTCAAAGTTTATACTTGGCGAGCGCAGATTTTGGTCAACGGTCAATGCTTTTCATTATCTTTCATTATTTTTCTTTATCTTTCATTCATTTTTATTGATGTCATTATTTTTTATTCATTTTATGTGTTCATTACCCATCATTATCTTTCATTCATTTTTATTCATCAATGTTGATATGGTAGTGCAACACAGTGTATTGTAGGGTACCCGTTTTTGACCCATACCCAGCATCACCCTGGACATACAATTCAGCACATCGAAGATAGAAATCACTGAATAGTGAACTATCAATATCATGAATATAACTAGAAGTAAAATAATATCAGTAAGCAACTTATCACATCGAACATGAACTGAATACTGAAGTGCGAAGTGTTCTACATGTATATGTGAACTTAGATTTTTAGACCCGTAAAAAAAAGGGGCAAATGGGCCAGAAGGAAAGGAACGTCAAAAGCGGTGGAGAAAAGTTGGACTCGTTGTTGATAAATGAGCCACAAGTTGTCGCACCCCTATTGAGCCTAGCTACAGCATAGGGTGGGAATCTCAATATGCTTCAACCTATTGAGCCTTCTGGTTGTGGCTACCTGCGACAAAGTTTCGGGGATGTGTCGGGATCATCAAACGCAGTCGTGCTGGAACACTTTCACAGATTAAGAAAAGAACATACAGTAGGGGTCTTTACTTGACCCGCCACGGGTGGCACGTTCCAATCGTTATCAACCATAGTAGTATTATGTAGTATGACATTTCCATGTTCAGTGCGAGAGCCCGTGAATATATTTCTAAAGATTCTAAAGTCTAGACTTGTCTATATCATAGTATATCATAGTGGTGTTAATAGTGGTGTTAATAGTGGTGTTAATAGTGGTGATTGAATATCCACTATGTCCAGCTTGCTGCAGTGATAAGCCAAATGAAGGGACCCCCACTTGCTTGAGGAAGGATGGAGCGCAGAGGGATGGCTCCCTGCTAATTGCCGAAGACCGCAATGTGGGAGCCGCTTGGCGCGAGGGGTCACGACGTCACAAACGACGTCACAAATGGTGGTGAATGTCAGGGCAACTCTGTGTACTGCAACTATCCACATTCCGGTTTATTTATCATCTTATTTCAAAGGATCATTTACCCATATAAAAATCCATATGTTTAGGAACAGATCAATCAATCCTTACCTGAAAGTCATAAGATTCAAATGCTTTCAAATGCTAGGTTCTGGGCTAAACATGGAGCTGCTTTCCCGAAATTGCAAACCATCCTATTTCTTGGCCCAATTTTGACCCATATCATAGTATTGAGCACTTAAAGTACCACCAAGAAACCCTGGATATGTGCCCCTTTTTGGGGGTTCCATTGTGAGGAAAGCGAACCGCTCGCATGGTTTGGGATGAGTTGTCCGCAAAATCCGTGGATGGTTTGTGAAGCTAGAGATCAAGAATAATCTTCCAGCTAGACATCGTCTATAGGAGTCTCTATAGAATCCATTCTTTATTTACATAGACCCTCCACGTACCAATCAAGATTGGTAAAAGTACTAAAATTATGGGTACCCTCTGGTAAACTAACATAACTATAGAAAATCACCATTTTCAATGGGAAAATCCACTATAAATGGTCATTTTCAATAGCTACGTTAGTCATTACCAGAGGGTAACATACCGATCCCCTGTTTCTATCGGGTAAATTCATTTCTGGTATTTTTTTGGGGATGGCTTTCCATTGGGTTTGCTGGAAGCTAGGGCTGTGGGCAAGGCATAGCCGGCATAGCCTCGAATTGGCAGAACAACACCAGTAATGAATGTTAACCAGTGGTTGTGGTCAATCAATGTTAGGCCATATTTTAGAGGGTCAATCAATCTTGGTATATATCTTTAAAAAAAAATCTTCATGAGTTTTGTTGTGTGTATGTGTGTTTGATCCGGTACTACGGATTACAAGACCCTCTTGCGGATTGCTCAATTGTTTCATGCGCTCCCAACATGGGATTGTCTCAAGGCTTGGAAGTTCAAAAGTTATGCACAATTTATACATATATATATATATATATATTGATTAAGAAACGGATAATGACACAGTTTTTGCTTTCAGCCCGACCAATTCCCCAATCTTCACAGCGTTGATATCGGCAGGTGTTGAGCTTCACAGCCTATGCCTCCTACTTCCAACACGCGAGTTCTCGAGGAAGCTTCGCCGTTGGCGCTGTGCTCTTTGGAATTGTGCCTTGGCAGATGTATATATAGCAATGATACATCCCTGTGATTTGTAAATATATGTCCAACATTGCCCATGTATTTCCATGTTAAATGAGGCCTTACACATGCTTACACCATCTTTTGTAGATATCTTCAATGGATAGCAATGATCTATCACGAGGCAAAGTTCCAATCCCAATATATAATGAATCATAATTGTTCCCCCTTAATTATGGGCTTTTATTATCGGGTTATCCTGGTTATATATCATCATTGTGTTTCTCTCTCACGCATCAATAGTTCAGCTGATAATTTGGTGTGGAGGAACCTCCACTTGGGTTCAGTTGGTAATTTTAGATAGCCATGGGCAATTACCAATTTCTAGATGTTTTGCCTGTCATGACCAAAAAAAAAAACATTGCCATGTTCTATGGCAAACGTTGATGTTGACAGAGGGTAAATGCACAGTTTCGTCTGTGACATTTGCAGGAACACCTATTTTTTTACGCCACTCCATTGATGGAAGGTGATGGAAGGGATTACCGGAGGGTTTTTGGAACTGCGCCCCACCGCGCCAGGTCTTTTGTTTGGCGTTGCTAGCCGAAGCAGTTCGGACCTTTACCGAGATTTGGGTCACCCTTTGGACCTCGACGGACGAACAGGACTGCGATGTCGTATCCTGTCGTGGAGACAGTTTGCTTTGGATGGTGAATCTTCCATAGCTGCCATAGCTATATTAGTTTACTGATGTTTGCTGGAGGGTACATGTTTTGGGGTATACAAAAATGATAAAACATGAGGTGAATTTCTGAAGTGATTACATATTTAAGTCCATGGGTTTGCGAGAGCTTCCCAATGTGATAGTGATATTATCCAAACAATAATTGGAAAAACGTCAAAGTCGGGATAGATCACAGTCACAGTCACAGGCTCACCTGACATGTGGGCAAGCAATCTGCCGTATCCATTGAGAAAGAGCATTTGCATCCAGAGGGAAACAACATGAAACAAAGCAGTGCATGCATGGAAGCATGCCATAAGACAAAGTGAGTTTGGTTCTTCTGAGATTCCGAATATGTTTTTGACAAAACATGGCGGCCTTATGCTAAAACTCGGTAGATGCAGGAAGTCATTTCACGGAGCGATCTAGTCTTCTGGCTCACGGGCTATGGATGCATCTTGGCATCTGCACTGGGTCCAGCTACAGGATGCCAGCCAATCATCCCCCGATTCCGGGGTCCTACTGCGGATGGGACCGCAAAGTGAGTAAATATTCCATATATATATATATACACACATATATACAGTAGACATTTACAGTATTTTTATGTATATAATTATACATTTTTTGTTTTTATATATATATATATTATGTATAAATATTTATATATATATACACGTATAAAAACATAATTACATACATAGATTCATATAGATCAGCCAGTAAAACCCTGTCATTGGGTTTCCAGGTGAGAATTTTTTTTTTTTTTTCATGGGCCATTTGATGGAGACATGCCAGTTCGGGGGTTAAAATCCTGCAGAGGCTTGTCACAGTTTTGCCTTTGGAAAGGGTTCCAGATTCGGTTCTGGTATGGAAGACGTTCAGATCATACTGATTAATATATAGTTCCAAGTTGTTCGAACTTTTCAGCCTGGTGAATTACTATAATTAATCCAGATTCGCCATTTGTTGGGTCCATCAAGATCGTGTTTTAAAGTTGTTTTTGTTTTATGTAGTGTTTCAAGACTACCCGCATGTGTAGGTACAGAAATCGGGAGTATAATGATCACTTTAAATATCTTTAAATACAGTTGAATCCCTGTGCATTACTTTACATTTGGACTCAAACGATCACAGAAGTATCCACAACAATAGTTCTAATATGTTCTAATTCAATCCATGATTTCAAGAAAACATGACATATTCTCATCATATTCTCATCAATGATCAACTTCACTTGAGATATTGTAAATATTTAAATTCCTGTTTTCCTAAAATGGGGGACCCCCAATTTGTCACCAGTAGGGGGACCCCCAGTCGTCACCCGAGGCATCGTTCTGGCCGTGCTGGTCATCGGAGTCACCCGCGCAGTGGTCTTCAGTCGCATTGTGACGTGGCGAAAGGGGGATTGTGGGGATGATATCGCTGCCGTTTGTGGGGATAACCACAATATGATCATGATATTATTATATCTAGGACTTACATTAGTCATTATATCACTAATGGTATATCTACAATATAACTCTAATAACTAGGACTTATGGTATACCAGATATATCATTGCATTATATATCATTAGTTAGGATGGTGATTATATCACTATCGTTACTTGGGGTGGTGCCCCCAAGATAATCCAAGATAGCCAAGTTGGTACAAATAAAAAGTCTAATAACTAGGACTTATGGTATGTAGATATATCTATAGTCAATTGGTTCAATTATAGTTATAAGCCAACTTATAACTGGGAGGAACCGCATGAGCATTGTCAGAAAGCCCCTTTCTACACTTAAAGAAGAGTTGTGTCATATGACTGGGTCGCGTAAGCAAAACCCTTTGGTTCGTAAGGTGGCAGAAACCACTTTTGCAAAATACCATGCAGTGGCTCTGGCGTAAGCAGTTCCTAAGCGTTGTAAGTCCTACCTGTCAGCGTAAGCTCCACATAAGTCAAAACTCAAAACTGTGGTCGCCTAAGCAAGGTCCGCAAGGTCTAGCGTAAGCCATGTGATGCGACATAGCCTGGTAATCTCACTTTTTCGGAGAAGCCTACATTGTGATGGGTTTTATAAAGCCAACTTATTGTTGGCAGGCCTGTTTTGTAGCTGCGAAAGTTATCATGGAACCCTGAAACTGGGGGTTTGAAAGGTGATTTGTCGAACTTGGATATGGCCGATCTTCGATTTCATGTGTAGGAATGATGGTGGAATTCAAAACGACTTACGAAAGTTGAGGTTTCTACTACAGCGAGTTGCATTTAATCATTTACCAATTAGTTTTTACCAGTAGCAAACTGGGATTTGGTTGAAACATCCTGTAGCTTACGAGTTGAAACATCCATTCACCATAGTTCACGCACGTTTGTGTGGTTCCTGAGGTCACTGAACTCATCCTCATCCATCCTCACATATTTGGTTGATGGTTTCCTTAGGTTTCATTGGGACGGTGCAGGGTGATTTAAACCACCATCACATCCCCAAGTGTGTTTGTCATGATCAGTCATTATCTCCCTGTCATTCAAAGTTGCACCA